ATTGGAGGTTTGTTGCTTTGCTGAGCTGTTGAGCTCACTCTTGTTTTCTGGTGGCTTTCAGGTTCTGGGAAAGGGAAGGAGGTCCAGGAATAGATTTCAGAGTCTGATCCGTAGGTATTATTTTTGTACTCTTGATTTTTGTACAGACATGGCTCTTCTGCTCTGTTTCTTTCTGTCTGAGCCATGGTCTGTAGTTGTAGATGATTGTTTTGAGAAAAATAAAGAAAAATATAGATATTTTATTCCGCTGCATTTGATGTTTCATAGTAGCTCTGTGTGTGTCTATATTTGAGTTGAATTATTTGGAAGAATCAGTTCCGAAACAAATTCCAAAGCCAGATCCTGGTCTGTCTGTTCGTTAAGCTGGTCGCGGCCCAGTGCGGGCGGGATCCGTCTCGGGTCGGGTCGTGACAGTTGAACTAGCATAGCTTTGGGTGCAGCAGTTGGAGCATATTTTTGGGTATATCTATGCCAGCAGTTTAAAGCACTGTGCCCTGTTTTGCCGTAGATTTGGCATATGGGACGCTGGTTTGGAGGTGAGACCGGATTGGTGATTTGAGTAGCCGGAGGAGCTGATGTGAATGGGATGTTCTTGTTCCGGTTTGGGCGTCGTTGCGTGCGACCTTTGGAGTTATTTGTGGAAGTGGTGTAAAGGGCGGAGGCGGAAGAGGTGGACAGATCTTTTTGAATTTCTTGGTTGACATGGATCTCCTCACTGCAAAGTAATGAGTAGAGATTGTCAAGATCGGCGGGTAGCGGAGATGTGCGGATGGTCATCTTGAACGAATTGTAGGTCGACGGTAGGCCATTTAGGATGTATAACACGATGTCCTCCGGATCAATCTTGGAACCTGCAGCAGCTATGTTGTCGACAATGTTCTTGATTTGGGAGAGGTATTGTTGCATGGTGAGGTTGTTCATTTGAAGATGATGAAGTTCGTTCTTAAGTTGAAGAACACGAGAGCGGCTGGAAGGCTGTAGTCGGCATTCAAGAACAAGCCAGGTTTCATTTTTCGTCGTGGCGGTGATGACGTAGGGAAGTATCGACGGCGATATGGTTGAGAAGAGGGCGGAGATCAAGTTGCTATCTATTAGCCGCCATCGGGCAAGTTCTTGAGATTTTTCCTCTGGCGGCATGGGTTGGGTGCCCGTGAGATGCCTTGCGTAGCCGTTCGCCGTGAATTGCTGGAGAATCTGAATGCGCCAAATGGCATAGTTGTCTGCCGTGAGCGGATGAGGTAGGAGATTCTTGATGTTGGAAACCAAGAACTTTAGGGGTGTCGGAATACAGACGTCAGAGTGATCGTCGGCCGGGTTGGAGGAGGAGAGGGGAGGGAGGGAGGAAGTAGAGCTTTGATCCCCCATTAATGGCTCTAAGATACCATGAGAAAGGAGAAGAAAGGCGGAAACAGAGAGCGGGAGATGCGAGACTTTGAAAAGAAAAGTTAATTCAATATTAGATGTAGAATATGTTACAGTGAGTCTATATATAGACTTGGTTAATGGTAAATAGGTAAATAAATATGACTAGATACAGAATAGCTAGCTCATTCACTAACAAGAACAACAGGACTGACCATCCAAGAGGAATAAGAAGAAGGCTATCAATAAGGTGTTTTGAAAACCGGACCGGACAACAAACCGGAAAAAGAAAAGGTTCACGGTTCGACCGGTTAGACCGGTCGAACCGGGGTTGAACCGGATGACGTAATAAATAATAATATTATTAAAAAAAATGAAATAAGTGTTAAATTTACACTCATGTTCTAATCAGCAAATCTCAAATCCTTTATAATCAGCCATTTGGAACTAATCTTTTTAATTGCATGTTCCTAAATTCTTAAAGCTTCAAACCTTCAACACTTGAAGGTCATGTTCTGGGATTGCAAGCTAGCAGGAAAACAGAACACAATGGCAAGATTTTCTTAGAAATAAAAAGCTAAAATCATGATGTCTACACTGCACAGGTTTTGTTTTAATTACGAAATATATTATTTAAAGGAATTCCAAGGCATGGAGGTTTGAAAGCTAGCAGGAAAACAGAACACAACGGGAATCCAGTCACCGACAACAAGAATGATTTTCTAAGACTTCAAAGAAAATAGAGAAAAAGTTTCCATTATAATATCTTAGCTAAAGTTTAAAACCATGAAAATCTAAAATCATGATGTCTGCACAGGTTGCCTCATGAGGCAGCTTATGCCTTATTCGGTATATCTCAACCATTACAGCAAGCAATCAAGCATAGATGGAGAAGAAATGCAAGCTTAAATGTGTAAAAAATTACTCAAAAAAAAAAAAAGAAGAAATTCTCATATTCAAGAACCTGCTTCGGGATCGTTCGAGCTCGATGGGTCAGGTAGGCGGCCAAACCTGACTTCTTCCCCAACAACTGGCACGGTCGCCACCATCTTCAACGAAGGAGGAGCTGCAGCGACCAGACGAAGGAAAAAATCGAAGACGGGAGACGAGCGGCTTCGGGAGTTACGGAAGGTAGAAAATGACATTAGGTTTACCTTTACATGTTTTAGTGTTTTACTAATACTTGAAATACCGTATGATTTCAATCAGACAGTGGAAATCGCATTTAAGCTTAAGTGACCGGTTCTATCCCGGTTTCCGGTTCGCCGGGTTTGTGGTCCAACCGCCGGTCGGACCGGTTCAAAGCCGGTCCGTTGATTTTTCGGTTTTGTTAGATGACCGAACCGGCCGGCCGGCCGGGTGCCGGTTCAACCGGTTGAACCGGCCGGTCCAGTCTGATTTTCAAAACGTTGCTATCAACATATTTTTTGTGTTTTTGGATCTTAATAGAGCCTATGCAAATAATTTTAAGTAAACTTGAATAATTTAGGCAGCGCCTCTTAAGTGCAGTCCAATCAAAAGCAGGCCAGGAGGTTTTGGGATGGGTGACTCTTCTAGGTCAGCCGAGGATTAGTCACGCAGCCAAGCGCCTTTCGGGGGTGGCAGCTGATGGATACCCTATTCAAAAAAAAAAAAACTTGAATAATTTAGAGCAATAAGTTTTTAATAATTTTTATTTCAATCAATGCGTCAACTTTATATTTGGTTAAAATTATGATTGAGAAGACTTTATTTGGTGCAAGGCCCTAAGCAAAGGCCTTTAAGAAGTGGACATATCTTATAAATTTTTAAAATTATAACTTTACACTATTAAGTTTTTAAAGACTTTTGAATAATATAGATTTCGACCTTAAAAAAATATGAACAAATAATACATCACTAAAAAGATCTATTTAATTAAGAATAAACATAAAAATATTCTTTAAATTGAAAAATTTTGGAAAGTTTTAATTTTAGCTAATTTCTAATCAAATTGAATATCTCGATGACGCAAGTCCAATGACACAAAAGTGTTTCGATTTGCATCCAAATAAGCTCAAACTAGCAATTAAAATATATTTAAAAACTTTGTGGCATTAATTGAAGGACTAAATGATGTTTAAATCTTGCAAGTTTGTTGTTAGAACGGGTGGCTTGATGAGAAAAAATCAATGAGTTTGTGATCACTCAATTTTGATATTATTAATACACACAAAAGCTGAAAAGAATGTTCGTTAATTAAGGAAATAGATTCCATAATGAATGTTCATTAATTAATACATACATTTTTGATATTATTAATATAGATTCCATCATCTATAAGATTGATGCATGTCATCAACTTAAATACAAATGCATGTCAACTTCATAACCCACTTATGCCAATAATGTTAATGCATGTCACCTCCTATAAGTTCAATACATGCCATTAACAAAAGGATTGACAAGTGCTATCATTGATAACATCAACTCAATTCATTGCCTATAAGAAATATTCACGCCATTGACTCCAATGTTGATGTTTTCCAACTTCATCTCCTATTGTTAGCAATAACATTGACACATGCACACCAGTGCTCCAATGCATGTTTTTGACATAAAATCTTGCTATTGAAATTGACACAAAGATTTATATTGGACTTATTGGTCATTAGTATCTTCTAAAAGGATAACTATCGAATGGTCTAAAAATTGCAATGCCTCAAGGCTCTTATAACTAATTTAATCATTTATTTCATCCTACACAATTCATGTATATTACATTATATCAACACCTTCAATGTTTATGGAGAAGGGCATCATTTATAGCCTACAACAAACACTAGGCAATTATTTCAACTCGACTAAGCTCCACAATTTTTTTCCTCTCCGAGTTTCCAGAAAAAAAAACATAACTTATTTTTATGTAAGATGATAGGCTCTCATTTTATCTATTGTGAGATATTTTCAGCATGGAGCAAGTCTTGTCTATTTTTTATTTATTTCTCTAAATGTGTGCATATATTTGTCCGAAAATAATATGTACAATTCATATTCTCAATCAACATAATTATCTTGCAGACCAAAATATCTTTATCTTTAAAATCTTTCAAAATTTCAATATGTTATTTACTCAAAAAATCAAATGATATTTAGTTTGCAAGTTCAATGATAACCTCAAAATCAAATATTTGGTTCCCCCGCACATTTTTTTGAAAGAGTGAATTAGAATATGATAAAAAAGATAGAAAATTAAGGACACAAGCTCATTTTGAAAGTTCTTCCTAACTACATTGCCTCAAATCCCCTCCACTTGCTCTTGTTTTTTTTTTTTTTTAAATACTCATTTTTTTTTTTTTTTTTTTTTTTTTTTTAAATACTCATTTTCTAGTTTGAACTTATCACTTCAACCATTATTTATAAATCTCCTTCATCAATTATTCAATGTGTCTATTTTTCAACTTTTGATCATATAATTTTTTTTTAATAAACTAAATGTAAAAATATAATAGCTATGAATAGTCATCATTAGAAACTCAATGACATAAGATACTTTTCAACATATGCCATGTTTGTTATCACATCAACAACAATTATATAGTAATTGAAACATTACAATATGAAAAATTGTGAAAATCCTCTGTAGATATTGATGACATTTGCTTATGTCATCCCCAACAACATAAAAAACAACCAATTTCATTCCTCTTATCTCCCTCTACCATTTTCCTATCACCTCAAAAATTACAATCTTGTCAAAACAAATACTAAACTATTGAAGTAAATTTCAGCATTATTTACACGACCAAAGTAATAAATTCATTACTTTTGGGTCTATTGCTTCTGCTTATAATAATCTAATCTTGCCTTCTCTAACTATCCAATTGTACAAAAAGTTCGAAGATCCACAACCATAACAGTTATATCATCCCTATTTCCTCTATTGCATGAGATCTCCACAAGATCTTTGCAAGATTGCATTGAGTTCTTCTTCTTCATAACTACATCCACTGCTTCTTGATTGCTAACCTATAAATTATAATTAAAAAAGAAAGATATAATTAGCAATTAATCATTCTCTCTCTCTCTCTCTCTCAACTTATATTCATTAACTTAGGAAAATTTAGTAGCCAAACCTTATCCCACAAGCCATCAGAAGCCATTATGAGAAATTCACAATCTTGGGTCAATGAGAGCCTTCTAGTCTCAGGCTCAGAAATAATCCATTCTTTCAAGTTAACATCTCCAATTGCTCGGGAAATAGCTAATGAATCTTGTACTCTCCACACTCCATTATGGCAATTCACATAGCCTCCCTGGTAATAGCATGAACAAAAGTTCAGAAAATGCAAAATTGGAAATATTTAAGAAATTCAATCATATTTCCCATTGTCTACTCTAAAATTCATGATGGTGGGATCGCAATTACCAAGTTTTCGATTCGAATCCTCTCGTCTTCTCTTCCAGGACGATGATCAGTGGTTAGAGCATCAGCTATTCCTTTTCTACTCATGACTACTCTACAGTCACCAACATTGGATACATGCAATTCTCCATCCTTGAACAGCACAGTAGCTGCGCATGCTCCACTGCTTACACCCTGAAACGTGAAAGAGAAATGTTCTTGGTTGATCTAACTAATACAACAAATGGTACATTTATGATAAGAATTTTGAGCTACACATATACATTATAGCAAAATATGAAGTATAAGTAGTACATTCTTTAAATACTAGTATGAATTTAAGTAATTTGGTTACATTTCTACAAAATCATGACCACTGTTCATATAATCTAAAAATTTAATCACATTTAGTAATAAGATAGTGACAAAATACATTAATTACACTCTTACCTTTATCCAAATAAGTCACATATTAAAAATAAACACAATTGGAAATATTGTCTTCTTGTGTATCATCTATTGTCTCATATAGAATTTGGCTAAGGTTATATTCAGGTTTGGTGCATTCAATGGAATGCGCTAAATATTGAATGCGCCAAATTGTTTATGCGCCAAATTGTTTGACGTATTTAGAATAAGTCAAATCATTTGGCACATTCACCTAAGTCAGCCAAATTAAATTTTAAATTTACTATATCAATGTGCCAAACAACAGTTTGGCGCATTCAATGGAATATGTCAAACTGTTTAGCGCATTTCATTGAATGCGCCAAATTTTTTGGCTCATTCTAAATACGCCAAACAGTTTGGTGCACTCAATGGAATGTACCATTTTATTTGACTAATTTCCTTCTTTTAATTTTTTTTTAATACTTTGTTTCTATTTCTAATTTAATTAAACACTATGCTCCTTCTTAAATAAAATCCTTAGTAATAGTATACTCCAATATTTTTCTTGCAGAAATGGCATCCCAGCATTGTCTTCTTGTGCTCAAAGACAAACATCATTATTCAAATGGCTTATTGTTATTTCATACCTTACTAAGGAATTCGCTGTCCGTTATCAAATAGCCTGCTTTGATTGCCGATTCCAACCTGCCTTCTTCATCTCTTTCCTTTGCTTCTTCAACGGCAGTTATTATATTGTTTCCTAGCTTTTCAGAGACGAAGTCCACGGCTGCCCTTCCACCATGACCATCAAATACTCCAAAGAAAGCCTGAAAACATTAAAAAAACAGTAAGCTATCTATATGTATTCAACTAATAACACATCAAATGTTCATAATTAGTCGTATTGGTCCTTTTAAACAATCTCAAATGCATGAACCATATTGACAAAATAAGCAGCTTCTACTAATTATTGGATCAGCAAAACCAAAACTGTCAAATATGAACAATATGAAGAGGAGAAAGGAGCAAGTTTGGAGTCAAATTAATTACCGTTAAACAAAAAAGAAGAGCAAATTTGAATTTCTTAAAAGATGGAAGAGAAATACCTGCTTGGAATCTCCATGAATGTTTGTCATGACACCATAGCCATCCTCCATCATATGCCGAGTCCCTCTCCTACTTGCCAAGCAATATCCACTTCCTTCAAACTCCATCTCCCTCCCCACATCCTCATCCTTCCTAAAAAATGCCTCTCCGATCCCCAAGCTTCCATCGTCGCCACTCGGCGGAATTACAATCTTCGTCGGCCTCTTTCTCAACTTCTTAACCACCGGCGCCACCGCGCCAAATAAGCACTCACCGCCCTTCAACTTCTCGCCGCCAAACCTCTCCGCCTTCTCCGCAACCACCTCCACTGAAACAGATTGGAAACTCCCAGTCTCACACTCTTCCTTCCTCAATCCCCTCGAACCATCTCTCGCCTTCTTCGAGACTAAGACTGGTGATTCGGCGAGCCTCTTCCATGACAAGGATGACGGAGGAGGAGGCGAGGTGTTTGAGCAAAGAGCGGCCATGAGATAAGCCTTCCTAAGAACAGGAAAGAGGTGAATAAAGTTGTAGATAAGAGTCCATAAGCATTCCAACTGCTCCACCATCATTAAATCTTCTTCTTCTTCTACTTTTCTTCTTGATGTCCTCTTGATATTGATTTGTTCCAAGGTGAAGGTGGCTTGCATTTTCTATCGCGAGATTTAAAAGGGAGCGGAGAGGAGGGAGAGGCAAGAACAAGTCTGTTTTTTGTGCTCATTTGGTTTGAACAGTCAACGACTGTGCTGATTCCTGGCTTTCAAATAAACTGTTCTGAATCCCTCGGGAATTATTCAAAAATGCGAGAGAAGAGGTCGGGCGGGGCGAACTGGTCGCGGCTGGAGAGGGAATCGCCGATTCATCGCCGAGTTGTTGGTGTGCTCTGAGCGTACGGCTGCTATTTTCACCCCTTTCATCAATGGCGTCGGTAGTTTAGTAGGTTGTTTCGGTGATTCGCTGGGTAGGATGTGGGGCGTTATTGCTTCAGGTGGCGTCTGTATAGCATCATCACTTTGGTTGACTTTTTGAGAAATAATTGCTAATGATTTATGTGATGGCTGATTTTGGCGAGAGTTTTGACCAGGAGTCGAGAACCAGCTCGGCTCCATCAATTAATGAGCTTGAGAGTCAAATTTATTAAGTTTTGAGCTCTAGTTTGAGGAAAATTTCGAAATCGTTGGATTATTGAGCCGAATTTGATCATAATGAAGGTCAAGTCAATTACCCGTTGAGCAGCTCGTGGTGCGGGCTCGGACACAAGGCGCATGATAGCAAGACAGGTTTGGATGCATAAGCGAGATCACGACGTGGACACCGAATCGCAGAGTGGGCTTGGAAATATAAATTTATAAATTTAATATAAATTTATAAATTTAATATAAATAATTACTAATATATGTTATATATATTTAGATATAATTTATACCTCTAAATTATATACAAAATTCACATAATGAACTTAATTAATTTATAATTAAAAATTAAAGTTAAATCAATCAAATTTAATTTTTGATTAATTTGATTGTTTATCACTTTGATTTTTCAGACACATAGAGCAAATAAATCATAAAAAAATGGAATATGAAAAAGTCTGTCGTGTGGATCGATTCAATTAATGAACACTAAGTAAATCTGACAAAAAAGATATATTATTTCATTTCAATGCTATGTTGCCACGTTGATTAATGCAACCCTTTGAGTAATTTGAGATATTTGACTTGGGTTTAGTGTGCCAGATCAAGAAGTTGCTCCTTCTATAAATTTTTGTCTTCTTTTTCTTGACTTGTTCTTTCCCTTATTTAATTTGCAATTGGATTGGAAAATTTAAGAAGAGAAGGATAGCAAAGTCTTTTACTAAATCATATTAGCCGCATGATTTAGGCTTTATTTGGGACGGCTTTATTACTGTTTTCTAAACAGTTTTTTGTACTAAAAATTTACTTTAGAAATCAGTAAGAAAGCTACTCCAAATGAAGACTTAGAAAATAATAGAACCATTCAAGCCTTAAACATACAAACAAGTAGTTTCCAACAACTTCAATATTTGCATATACAAAAGATAAATAGTTTAGTGAATAAGTTCCTACATAACAAATAAGAATATTATTTTAGTTATGATAGCCACTCTTATTAGTAATAAATACAAAAAGAAATCGTGATCATCTTTCTTGGTGATCTTCGTTAACATCATCCAGAGCATAGCCCAAAGGATCTTGTTATTGTAGCTTTTTCAGCATGGACCATAGGACTTCTTTGTGCTCTTGTTGAGTATGTGATTGTCATTCATATTATCTCCCTCTTGATATTCATGAGGTGAATGTATAGAGTCGACCTTTCATCCACATATTAGAGTCGAACTTATACTAAATAACAACTGTCCCATCATATTTTGAGGTCACAATACCTCATATTTTTCCTAGATAAATTTGAAAGTGTAAGATGACTGTAAAAGTCACCCTTGAGGACTGATGTCAGCCCTCACTGGCCCAATATATGATGAGGGAATCCACTACAATTACATTCATCTAATGTGGCACAAAATCCCTCTATGTTGCTAATATAAAAAAATTTGACTTTCTTTATAGCACTTTTACATGCCATACTGAGGGTCTAGGCGAGAGACCTCATAGCAATCCTCTCATATGCATTTCTCATGATGGCTACCTCATACTGTGTCTAGGAGGAAAAGTTATGACGTCTGGACAAAAAGCTAAAAATTCGGACAAATACCGAGCAATATCGAGTGCTTGGTACTGAGCACCTAAGTGACATGGTGCTTTGTTATTTGTCTTTGGACGCATTCGGTGTTCGGACACAATAATTACTCGCCTAGGAGAAGCATCTCTTAAATGTAGAAAACAAAAAAAATCATTAGTTTATACACGTAAAAATGTTTATTCTTCTGAGAGTCTAGGTGGAGAATGATTAAGAACAATAACATTTGTTTTTTTTTAATTTATCTTTTTATCTTCAATATAGGTGATCGGCGAGAATAAATTTTCACTAAAAATAATAATAATTTTGCCATCATTTTGTAAGCAGAATGCTTTACTATCTTCCATAAAATAGGAACATGTCAATCCAGTATGAGTATGATTATGAGTACTCGACTCGGACAACATTACATACGTAAAAAAATCACTAATTACCCACATAATAGTAGCCCTCATTGGAATTTTTTTTTTCTTTGAATTTATCATTAGTTATCACTCCTTTATTCCATAGTGCTTTTAAATATGATGATTTGGTTTAAACAAGCAATAAATGACAATATGAATGGAATTCATTTTATAAGCTCAACATTAAATTGCATTTAAGAAGGATTGAGCTAAATCCATATTTTATTTCAATTTGGCTTATGTTCTCTCCTCAGAAACAGCTTAATTAAACAACTTTGCTGAGCTACACATTATTGACTCTTTAATTACAAAGTTTGCTAAAATTTATTACTTTATAAGCATTTTTTTAAAATTAATTAAATCAAACAAAATACTCAAAATAAAACATGATTGAAGAAATCATTGATAAAGATGAAGCCTCAAATCTATTTAGACAAAGTCCAATATGCACAACTGATCTTAACATTATATATAATAATCATAATAAAAGAAAAAGATTATTCTAACGACATATTGGAGCGATTGCAGCTTTCTATAAAGGTGATTATGAAGTTATTGAGGGGAAGTTATTTTTTAAATGTTGATGTGGACATTATAAATATATTTTTTCATTAAAAGTTGGACAACAGCTTTTTTAGTAGATCTAGTTGCAAAAGCAAATTTTCCATCAAAAAAAAAAATCTAAAAAACAACGAGAAAGTAATAGTTAAATAAAAATATGATTACGATTTGAAAAATAAAACAACCAAAAAGCTGTCCTAAAAAGCTCTAAGGTTTCGTTTGAGATGACATTTTTACTACTTTTTGAAGTAGTTTTTTAGTAAAAAATTTATTGAGCTTGAAATATTTATATTAATTAAAAAGTCACTTTATAAAGCAATGAAAAAGCTGTCCCATATAAAATCTAAGCCTTCCAAATCAAGTGGACGGTCTGATGCATTTCATGTGTTTTGTAATTATTAATGAAATTAAATATTAGTTTAATTCCATAAAAACAAGATAATTTCTCTCCCACCACAAATTTGTATTATGAGGTTGCACAAATCCAAAAATTGCACTTCCCCCTTCTACTCATTATTGGATGTCGGATCCTCTGGATTCAAATGGGTCAAAGCATTATCATTAACAACAGACACTTTTCGATATCTCGGGTAGAACCAACATCCACAACAGATGGAGGTAAAGATTTTTTTTTTTAAAACAGGATGCAAAATGAAACAATCACTTTTTCAAACAATTAGGAATCAACCCAAAGTTCTTTCGCACGCTTTTTAGTGACACTACAGGAAAAATACTTATTTCTGGCGGAATTTCCAGCGTCCGACAGATTTTCAGATGAATTTCCGGCGGAATAATTAATTCCGACAAAATTTTCGGCGGATTTCCGACGGTTTTTTGGAGGAATTTCCGGCGAATTTTAAATTTTCTTGAAAATGACAAATATAAATATTTAAAATTAATCATTTTGTTAAATTAAGTTAAATATTGCTAAATAAAATAAATTTAAAAGTTTAATAATTTATTATTAAATTAAATATAATAATTATTTTTATCTTAAGAAAAAAAGAACTTATCTTTTAAATATAGTAATTATTTTAAATAAAATATAAATTAAATAAAACCAAATCAGATTTTATAAATTAAATTAATTATTTTAATTTTAATAAAGTTTATATTTTAAATAAAATATGAACTCAGCTTTTAAATATTTAAATAAATTATATTAAATATATTAATTATTTTGATCTTTAAATGTGAGCCCAGCTGGGTTTATAATTTATTTATTTATTCCATTTTTTTTTGTTTTTTCGACGGAGTTTATATTCGTCGGAAATATTTCCGATGGATTTTTCACCTGAATTTTACCGAAAATCTTTCCAGTGGAATATTTTGCTACGGTAACATGTTTCTGACGCGTGCTTTACCGTCAAACAAATTTTCACCAAAAATTTGTCTGAAATGATTATTTCCGACAGATTTTGGGTATTTTCCAGCTAATTTTGCTCACAGGTAACATGCATTTTTCCTGTAGTATGATATCAACCTCAACTAAAACCTTAGCCATAGAAGGATAGGTCTTAGAAGCGGTGGCTTGATCGGTCTAAAAAGGCCTACCAAAAATAGAACCAAGTGCATGCAAAACTCGAGGATTAAATAAATGTAAATGAATAATAGGGAAAGAAATCAAAATATGCACGATTGATGATCTTCCCAAATGTTGAAGAACGATGTATATTTAAGAAGACTCATTTGACAATTGTTAATATAGTAAGATATTCTAGCATACACTCTACTATAGTCCAAATCATTAGAGAGCTGAATGGCAACACGGCAAGGATCTAACAAACCAACATAGTAAAAAATGGTAAGTTTCCGATTACAAAAGAAATGACGAACATAATCTAGATTCGGTCTTCGCATAGAAAATTTTCCAACTAAGGTAAATTGAAAAGGAGATGCAAGCTTAAGAACCTCATCATCTGACAAAAGTACCGCCAACACACCTTTGAAAATCAAAGGAGTTAAAGGGGAAAGATTTTCACCTGCATGCATATGAGCTTCCAGACACCACATCTTTGAAGGATCATGAAGGTGTTTTTTGACCTTCAACATCCAAGTTAAAGAAGCCTTTCTTCTCCGTAAACCTGC